GCCCTTTCTTTAAAGATGCTCATAATTGGAAATTCAGAAAAATACCCTTGATGGCCACCTCTGCTTCTGCAGAGTGGGTCCAAAGACTAGCACAGTCAGGAGATCTGAGAGTGCGGGATAGGGGGGTTGTTAGGGGAGTTATGGGGGTTCACGGGTGCCCATGCAGCTACCTTCCTGGTGCTTGAGCAATGGCGGCTGGGGCGGGAGAAGGCCTGGTTCTCCTTCCCGCGGTGGATCGGGGCCCAGGCTACCTCACATATCTTTTTAAATGGGGCTATTAGGAATTTTGCTTTTGTTTTGTTTGAGACAGAGTCTTGCTATGTAGTTCAGGCTGGCCTTGAACTGTGTAGCCAATGTGGCAATCCTCCTGCCTCAGCCTCCCAAAGGATTATAGACCTGCACCACCACACTTGGTAGCTATTAGGAAAATTTCAATCACATATATGGCTTATATTTTTGTTAAATAGTTCTGGACTACAGTGTTGGAGTCAGGTGGCTTTGGTAGAATCCTCTTTGTAGAATATCTTTGCTTTACTGTTCCTGGTGTAATAGTACCTACCTCTGAGTTATTAGGAAATTAAATAAAGCCCTTAGTAAGAAGAAGCTTTTGAAACGTTTGCTGACACCAGGTGTGATAGTACGAGGCAGGAGGATATATGCCAGCAGTTTGTGGTCAGCTTGAACTGCATAGTGAGACTGTCTGAAAAAAAAAGTTTGCTGTTTTTTGTTTGTTTTCTTTTGTTTTTTCAGTATCTGGGATCGTATTCAGGACTTTGCGCTTGCAGGGCAAGCAGCGATGCCACTGAGCTAAATCCCCAACTCTGCTATTTTTTTTATTAGGTAAATCACTTATATTTTCTGAGCTGCATTTTTCTTTTGTGCTAAATTAGAGGCTACTCTGAGAATTCAGAGGGATGATGCAGGTAAAAGTGTATAGCTCTGGCATCCATCTGGTAAATAGCATTATACTTTGTTTTAATCTAACAGACATCCAAATAGTTTTTTGTGTCTCCATTCAGAAAGGGAAACTGAGGCCCAGAGAGAGACAGAGGTCCCAAAGGAAAGTTTTTGTAGAACTCTTATAGTTCCTTTGAGTTTGGCCCTGGATGAATGGACATGTATGATAACCATCAACATATCAATGGCCCTAATTTTTAAAAAACCTGCCCTCCTTTAGGATGTGTGCCTCAAACAAGTAGATGCAGATTCTCATGAAATGATTTCCAGAACGTTGAAAGTCATCACAGTGGATCTTCAGTGTTTTTGTGTTTGTTTGTTTTGGTACTGGGGATCGAACTCAGGACTCTGTGCTTGCGAGGCAGGCTGTGGCACCACTGAGCTAAATCCCTGGCTGGGTCTTAAATGTTTAGTTGCTGACATATAAAACTTGGGGTTTGCATGCAAATCTGGATTTGTAACTTTTTTTTTTAAGTGGAAGAGCTGACCACACTCTAAATCCACATTCCTGCTAGCCAATAGTCAGCTGAAGCTGATACTTCTTCCTTTAGACAAGATTATGTCCCAGTTGCCTGCTGTCCTCACCACTCTCTGTTCTCTGAAACAGAATGCTGTTTGTATTTACTTTTGCTCTCAAATTGTTTTCCTTGGAGGTGATATTTTTCTCTTTTCTTTTCAGAGGTGGAGAAAGAAGGTCCTAGTATTTGTTATACTTGCTGGCTTCGAATCTCCTGCCCAGCCCCTTGACAATTGAGTTTGTCACCTGAGTGAACCAGTAGCAGGCAGGCAGTTTTCAGTCACCAAACTCTGCTGCAATGGTGTTGTGAACTGCTTCACTGGGGAGGGGACCATTAAACTGAGATTCCAGAAGTCGATGTAGAGGTTTTCCTCAAAAGCTTTAGTAGAAGGCACTGCCTGTGCAAAGACATAGAATAAGTGGGAGCAAAATTTTGTGTAAACTGCAGGGTAGATGAGGAGTGGTTGAGATCTGCAGAAGACATGAGAGATGAGATTGGAAGATTGGTGGGATAGTAAGTCATAAACATCACAGAGTTCTGTGTTTAAAAGTCCTTGCCTTCTAGGTAAAGAGAATGAAGTCTTAGGGTATTTGCAGTCATGGAATGTTGGATCTCTGGTCCATTTCTTTACCTTACTGGAATCATAGAATATAGAGATGGAGGGAGGGAGCTCAGAGATCTATTGAAATTATGGAATGTCAGAATGGAAGAGGCATTCAAAGTTGAAAAAATCTAATTCAGTTGTTCTAAACACTTAGCAAGCTCTCAGAATCTGAAGAAAATCATATTTCTTCCTAGAAAGAGGCTGCAGTAGTTTGGTGTGCAATTTTGGATGATTTATGTATATCCTTAAATCTACAGAGAGCCCCCATGTTAAATTTTAAATATATATATATATTTAAAAAAAATTCTTCTGAATTTTGCAGATTAAGAAATCAGCATGCCAAAAGGTGAAGAATTGTTCCAACATCAAAAATACACTAAGTATTTTCATGAGGGCAGAAGTCTTTTGACATTTATTCCAATGCTTTCATCATATTAAACTTTTTGTTATTGGAGTGTGAAATCGCTTTGAGAGTGGGGCACAGTTTGTTCGTCCTATATCATTTAGATTCCAGCACAGGGTCTGTCTCCCAGAGAATCCTAAGTAGCAATTAAAGGAAAGAGGAAAGCATGGCTTATAGACATATCTATGAAGGGGATCTCTAACATGATTCTCAGACCCTTACAGAAGTTTTTGTGTCTCTGATGGTATACTGTTGCAGGAGGCAGTGGAAAAAAAGCCTAGATACTTTTTAAAACTTTTTATTTGGAAGTAATTATATATTCATAGAGAGTTGCAAAAATAGTACAGGGAATTCTCTCCTACTCTTCACCTAGTTTTCTCCAACAATAAAGTCTTTCATAACTATAGTAAGTATATCAAAAGCACGAAACAGGTACAATCCATAGACCTTATTTTTATGATTTTTCCAGGCTGGCTTGTTTTGTTTGTTTATTCGTTTGTCTATTTATTTGGTGGTACTGGGGATCAAACCTTCAGGTGCTCTGCCATTAAGCTACATTTTGGCCTCTTTTAATTTTTTAAAAATTTTGTGACAGAGTCTAGGTGTGGTGGTTCACACCTGTAATCCTAGCACTTGGGAGGCTGAGGCAGGCAGATCACCATGAGGTCAAGGCCAGCCTGAACTACATAGTGAGACTGTCTCACACACAAAAAAAAATTGTGATGGGACTTTGCTAAGTTATCTGGGTGGGACTAGAACTTTTGAGCTTCCTATGTCAGCCTCTCAAAGTGCTAGGATTATAGGCATGTGCCACTGTGCTCTTCTCATTTTCAAGTTCTACATGTGCTTGTTTGTATGTATGTGTTTATAGGTCTTGCAGTTTTATCACATGTAGATTCATATACCTATTACAATCAGTATCAGTATCTAGAATGGTTTGATCACCGAACAGCACTGATATCTCTCTAGTTGTACCCATTTTTTTCCATACTCTTTTTTTTTTTTTTTTTTTTTTTTTTGGTACCGAGGATCAAACTCGGGACCTTGCTCTTGTGAGGCAGGCAGCGGAACCACAGAGCTAAATCCATACTCCATTCCTAACCATAGACAATCACTAGTCTGTTTCCATCTGTATAATTTTGTCATTCAAAAATGTTATTTAAGGCTGAGCATGGTGGTACACACTTGTAAACACAGCCCCAGGGAGGCTGAGGCAGGAGGATCACCATGAGTTGGAGGCCAGTCTGGGCTATATAATGAGTTTGAGGCCTGCCTGAACTACATGGTAAAACTCTGTTTCATCCCTCCTCCCAAATGTTATATATACGAAATCATACAGTATATAATATTTGGGTATTGCCTATTTTTTTTTAAAATCAGAATAATTCTCTGGAGATTTATCCAGGTTGCTGAATGTAAATATTCTATTCCTTTTTATTACTGAGTAGTCATCCATGATATGGGTGTTTCACAGTTTATTTAGCCATTTACCTGTTGGAAGACATTGGATTGTTTTCAATTTAGGGATATTACAAATATAGTTGCTGTGAATTATTTTATGATGCAGATTTAGGTAATCATTTAATCTTTCAGAGTCTGGGAATAATAATACATACAAAAATGACTCTGAAATACCTAATGGGTAAAGGAACTGGTACAGGGCCTGGCACAGAATATGCACTTAGTAATTAAAAAAAAAATGGAATAGTGAGCACATGTATAGTGGTTCCTCTGTTCATAAGCTTAAATTTGTTTGATACTTTGGGGGAAGGTGGTCACAGTTGTGTTTGTGTGAGGAAGATGGCCATGGTTGTGTTTATCACCTGATAAGGAGATTGTGAATGGAAGCAAAATTTTGTTGAACACTTTCGTTCAAGAACCGAATTATTTTTGAACAGAAGCATTAATGAACCAAGGTATTATTGTACTTGAAAGATCTATAGGTGTAGCTTAGTGGTAGACCATAGATTTAGTCCTATGTTCAATCCCCAGAACCAAAAGTACATAAATAGAAGTTTTACTGGGCATCGTGGTACACACTTGTAATCCTAGCACTCGGGAGGCTGAGGCAGGAAGATTGCTGTGAGTTTAAGGCTAGCCTGAGCTATATAGTTAGTTCAGAGGCAGTCTGGACTACATAGCAAGACCCTGCCTCAAAAAAAAAAAAAAAAGAGGAAGGCTGATTCAGGAGGATTACCATGAATCTGAGGCCAGCCTGGACTATATGATGAGTTCAAGGCCAGCATGAACTATATAGTAAAAGCCTGTTTCAAAACAACAGCAAAACATTTTAAAAGTTAGCCATTCTTAAGTTTACCTGATATGGATGAGAAATTGAGGTCTAGAGATTAATTAACTTGCTATATTCAGCAACTGTGCAAATATTTACCCTTTTGTGTTTGGCTTTTTTCACTTATCATAATGTCTTTAAAGTTCATCCACGTTATGCTGTTATCAGAATGTTATTTCTTCTTAAGGCTAATATTCATATATATATTTAATTCTATGAACTTTGTAGATTAAAGTTTCAAGATGTCAAAAGGTGAAGGGTTGTTTCCAAATCAAAAGCACAGTAAGTATTTTCACTTTATTCACTTGTCATGGTATATATTGGTTGTTTTCTACCTTTTGGTGATTGTGGATAATGCTGCTGTCAATATTGCTATATAGATATCTGTTTGAGCCTGTTTTCAGGTGGTTTGGCACATATATACCCAGAAGTAGAATTGCTGAACCATGTATTAATTTTATATTTAACTTTTGTTTTTTTTGGTACCAGGGATCAAACTTGGGACCATGCACTTGCAAGACAGCATATTTAACTTTTTGAGGAACCACCATACTGTTTCCATAGTAGTTTCACCATTTCTCAATGACCTGTAAGAATTCTAATTTCCCCACATACTTGTGCAAATGCTTGTTAGTTTGCATTATTTTTAAAAATGAAAAAATATATTTTTTGAGACAGAGTCTCATTATGTAGTTGAGGCTGGCCTTGAACTCACTGTGTGGCCTCAGCTGGCCTTGAACTCTCTTTCCTTAGTCTCCTGAAAAATATAAAATTTTAATGCATGTTACCTGTGATCAAGAATCAGATTTTCAGTGCTACGCATTGTGGTGCAGGACTGTAATCCCAGAATTTAAGAAGCTGAGGCAGGAGGATTGTTGAGAGTTCGAGACCAGGCTGAGCTACATAGTAAATTTAGGACCAGCCTACACTACATAGCAACAACCTGTCTCAACAAAACAAAGCGAAACACAAAAAAGTCAGATTTTCAGTAGAGTTAGTAATTCTGGGATTTTGTTTATACCACACACATTATTCCAGGAGGCCAGCTGGGATTACAATGAAGAGGAACCAATTTGAAATAATGAGAAAAATAAAAAGCCCCTAAGAAGTCAGGTGTGGTGGTGCACACCTGTCCCAGTACTCTGGGAAGCTGAGACAGGAGAATCCTAAGTTTGAGTTCAGTTTGGGCAATTCAGTGATTTAGCGAAACCTTTCATCAAAATATAACAAAAAGGTCTGGGGATGTGGCACAGTGCAGAGGCTCTGGATTCAGTCCCCAGTGCTGTGTGCTGTTTTTGTTCTTGTTTTTTAAATATCAGGTCTGTAAAGTTTGCTCAAGTTTCTCTGATGACTTTGCTCACTTCATTTTGTTAACCTATTTTATCACATATTTGGTTTTGGGATGAAGATCTACTCTATCTTTGATGTTTAATGAGCTGGAGATAACTGATCCAGAGTGCTTAATTTAGTTTGACTGTATGTGTAATTAACTCAGTTATTACTAATTCTCATACCTGGTAGGGTGTTGTAAATTTTTTTTCTCCTTTCACCAATTTCTAGTCTATTGTAAATCTCTTGGTTCCCAGTGAGTTTTAAGAAATTGGTTTTACTGTGGTGCTATACCAGTAGTGCTGCATTCCTCAATTATACTGGATTGATTTTTATCCCTTAAAAATGTATTTGTTCGTTTTGAATAGGATACATAGTGCAAGATTTAAAAGTAAAGAAAATTGTTATACTTCTGCTTTTGTTCCCTTCGCAATCCCATCTTAGTTATTACATCTGTTTCTTAGTTATCAGTTTTGAAAGATGTCTTAAAATGTAATATCTATATTATACATGTCTATAATCCCAGCACTCAGGAAGTTGGGACAGGAGGATTATAAGTTTAAGGCCAGCGTAGGATACATCGCCTGTGCAAGGCCAGCCTGGGCTACACAGCAAAACCTGTTTTAAAAACAAAAACAACACACAGGCATTGTGGCTATAATCCCAGAATTTGATGTTGAGGGAGGATTACCTCAAATTTGAGGCCAGCCTGATTTACAAAAACCTGACTCAAACAAAGCAAAAAACCCCCAAACAATCAAATTTAAAGCCATGGAAATTTTGAGTCTGTATACGTATACTGTCTTCTCTACTAACTTGTTAGCTATGTTATTTCTTTTTTTTAGCTATATTATTGCTTGACTCCTTTTAAACCATTTATTTCCAACTCCTTCACTTGCTTTTTGCAACCCTTTCCTAGCTAGCATCCTTTTTTTTATTTTTCTAAACTAACCTTCGCTTTGGAGATAATTTAGTTTTTTAAACATTCTGTTTCTGTTATCTGCCATTTCCTCCGGTTGTCTCATCATTTCTTAGAATTATTGCATTTTTGCTTTGATCTCTTTTTATTTTTACTTTTTTATTTTTTTGGGGGGTACCAGCAATTGAACTCAGGACCTTGCGCTTGTGAGGCAGGCGGTAGAACCACTGAGCTAAATCCCCAGCCCTCCATCTCTTTTTAAAATGTACTAAGCCCTTTGAGTTCATTGTGATTATCAGTTGTTTCATGTTAATTTTCTCTTTTCTTTCTGCCTTCCTTCCCCTTTCTCCTTCCTGCCTGACTGCTTGTTTGCTTTCTCTCTCACTTTCTTTCTCTCTTCCTCTTTCTTTCTCTTTCTCTCTCTTTCTTTCTCTTTCTCTCTCTCCCCCTCTTTCTCTTCTTTCTTTCTTTCCCTTTCATCTGTCATTTTTTTCCTTTCCTGCCTCCTTCTCGTTTTTTATGGTAATATATTTATATAGTTCCGGTGCTATTCCTTTTTTTAATATCTCATTTTTATTTCATGTAGTAGTTTTCTTTCAGAGTAAGTTATTTTATTGACTTTTAAATATAATCTTAAAGTCTCACTGCATAGCACATGGGGAATTTTCTTTCCATAAAAATACTAAAAATGGTTTAAATGTATCAGTTCTTTTTTACTACAGATCTTCTTTAAATGAAATAATTGCTGGGTATAGTGGCACACACCTGTAATCCCAGCACAAGATTGCAGTCATGTGCCACCATGCCCCACAAGAAAAAATATTTTAGATCCCATCCTCTCTACTTTTAAAAGAACCTCAGGGGGCTGGGGATGTAGCTCAGTGCTACCGTGACTGGTTCAAAGTCCTGAGTTCCATAAAAAAAAAAAAAGACCCCAGAGTCATTTCTGGGTTTTTAAATTAAATTTTATTTTATCCCATAGCCCCCTCAAGCTCTCTCCCCTTGCTATGTACAAAAGCTTTGTTTCCATTTTTTCTATTTTTACTTTTTTCTTGTTCCTTCCTGTCTTCCTCCCTTCCTCCTTGTTCCACTTCACATTTGAATACTTTCTTGTTTCCTAACGTCCATATATATTTTAGTCCTTATTTCCACTTTTCGTTTCTCATACCAGAGAAACAATGCAGTATTTAAATGTGTGTGTTCAGTTTGTTTCATTTTAAGAGTATGGTCTCACAGTCCATCCATTCAGCAACTCGTCAGTTGATGGACATTTGGGCTGTTTCCAAGATTTAGCTATTACACACTGCTGCTATAAACATGGGTGTGCATATATTGCTGTGGTATGATGCTTTTAATTCTTTCAGGAAGATACCAAGAAGAGGTATAGCTGGGAAAAATGGAATCTGTAGTTTTAGTTTTTGAGGAATCTCCACACTGATTTCTATAGTGGTTTTACCAGTCTACCGTCCCACCAACAGCGGAGAAGGGTTCCTTCTTCTCCACCGCCCCTCCAGCATTTGTTATTGGTTGATTTCTTTCTTTCTTCCTTTTTTTTTTTTTTTTTTTTTTTTTTTTTTTGACAGGGTCTCACTATGTAGTTCAGACTGCCCTGGAGTTCACTGTGTAAGCGAGGCTGGTCTTGAACTGGTGTCAATCCTCCTGCCTCAACCTCTTGAGTGCTGGGATTACAGGCATGCGCCACCACGCCCGGCTAATATCTTGATAGCAGCCATTCTTTCTAGAGTGAGATAGAATCTCGGCATTGTTTTAATTTGTATTTCACAAATGACTAGTGATGTTGAACGTTTTTTCATATATTTATTTGGTGTTTCTTATTCATCATCTGAGAAATGTTTTTTCATTTCAGATGCCCATTTTTTGCATTGGATTTTTAAATTTGAGGGGTCTGATTTTTTTGAGTTTTTTATATATTCTGGACAATATTCCTTATCTGAAGAGCTGGTAAAAATTTTCCCCACTCTGTGGGTTGTCTCTTCACTCTGCTGGTGGTTTCTCTTGCTGTACAATAGCTTTTTTTTTCTTTCTTTTTTGGTACTGGGGGTTGAACTCAGGTCCTTGCACTTGTGAGGCAGGTGGCGGAACCACTGAGCTAAATCCCCGGCCCTTACAATAGCTTTTTAATAAGATGAGGTCCCAGTTGTTGATTCTTTGTAGTATTTCCCATGCCAGCCCCATTTATTAAAGATGCTATTTTTCTTCCTGCAAAGATATTTGGCTGCTCTGTCAAAAATAGGTGGTTGAGTATTTCTGGAGTTGTTTCTGCATCCTCTAGCCTGTTCTGTTGATCCTCAGGTCTGTTCTTTTGCCAGTACCATGCTGTTTTTATCACCATGGCTTTGTAGTATAATTTAAAGTCATGAATCATGATACCCCTGCTTTGCTTTTTTGCCCAGAATTGCCATTGCTATTCTAGGTCTCTTCTGGTTCCAAAGAACTTTAGAATTGTTTTTCTAATTCTGTGAGATACACTGTTAGTATTTTGATTGGGATTGCACTGAATCTGTATAACAATTTTGGAAGTATGGTCATTTTCACTATATTGGTTTTTCCTATTCAAGAACAGGGAATCTTTCCATTTTCTGATATTCTCTTCAATCTCCTTTTTGAGAGTACCATAGTTTTCCATGTAATGGTCTTTTACTTTCTGCATTAGATTGATTCCTAGGTATTTCTTTTTTTGGATGCTATTGTGAAAGGGATTAATGTTTCTCTCTGTGAGTCTGTTATTAGTATACAGGAAGGCTATTGATTTTTAATGTTGATTTTGTATCCAACTACATCACTGAATTTGGCTATCAAATCTAAAAGTCTTTGGTGGAGTTTTTGGGGTCTTCTATGTAGAGTATCATGCCATCTGCAAATAATGATAATTTAACTTCTTCCTTTCCTATCCTTATTCTTTTTATTTCTTTCTCTTGTCTAATTGCTCTAGCCCAGAGTCATTTCTATCACCAAGGTCCTTTCAACATTTGATACCACATTTAGTTGAGGGCTTCTGTTTTTCTGAGTTTTCCTGATTTAACAAGACTTATAGTATAGTGCCATATTCCCACTCAAGGGTTTCAAGTTCTAAGCCTCAGACTGAGTCCCAGGCCAAGATGTTGAATGTCTTACCCACAGCCCAGAAGCCTCCTGCTTGCTTTAAGGTGGCCCTATGACTCTGGCAGTCACTTAGCTACCTTGAGCTCCAGTATCCTCATGTATGGAGTTGAGTTTAAGATCTTTTGCTTTTGTGGTGGTTGTGAGGATTAACTGAGATAATTCCTAGGATTGTTCAATAAATGTGAGACTTCCAGATCCTAATTTCTTTCCATTTTCCCCTCCTCCCTCTGGAATTTTTCACTGTGATGTAAGTAGATTCTCGGAATGAGATTTTTCTCAGAATCAGGCTTCCAGCAGCTGTTGGTAGGATGTGAGGAGTGGGGAAGACCTTTTGCCTTGCCATTGAGGGAAGCCCTTTGTTTCTAGTATAACTGCATATTTGAGGCAAGATTTGTCATCCTCCTCTTGAGATGAAAAGGGGCTACTTGTGCCATTTTCTAATTCAGGAGCCATGAGGAGATATATGGTGTCTCATTCCTGGATGCTCTTGAAGAAGGAACTGGTGAGGAGGGACAAAGCCTCTGGGGGGCTATTCCTGAGTGGATGATTGAACAGATGATCATTTTTAGGAAAGAAGAGGCAGGTATAGGAAGGGCTATGGATAATGGTATACAACCTGTTCATTTCGGAGCCACAGGCACAAAGGAAGGAGCTCCAGACAAATCTCATAAAGACTGAATTCTGATTCTTGTACTGTAGCTTATTATCCTCTGTAAACTATGCAAGCCCTGGGCCCCACTCTGCACCCTTGAGTCCTACTCTGTACCCACTCTTCCTGCTACTGAGAACCAGAGAGAACAAGATAGGGCGGCAACGTCAAGTTTTAGGATAAGCTCTGCACTCTAGAGTCATACTGCCTGGGTTTAAATCCCTAACACCTATTAGCCATGTGACCCTAGGCAAGTTACTTGGTTTGCTATGTCTTTGTTTTCTCCTCTCTAAAGGACAATGATAATAATGGGGCCTATTATGTAAGTTTACTATTGAAGATTAAATGAGTTAATATATATTAGAATAATGCCTGATAATAGTCAGTTGTACTGTCAGTCTTATTAATAAAATGCCCTCCCCATATTTCCTTTATTTATTTATTTTTGAGATAGTCTTACTGTGTAGTCAGGCTGGCCTTGAACTCACTATGTAGCCCAGGTTGGCCTTGAACTCAAGGCAATCCTTCTGCCTCAGCCTCCTGAGTGCTGGGATTACAGGTCTATACTACCATGCCTGGCCCAATATTTCCTTTAGATTTTTTGTTTGATTTGTTTTTTGAGACAGGTTCTCAGAATGCAGTCCAGGCCAGTGTTGAACTTGTGTAGTCAAGGCTGGCCTTAAACATGTGATCCTTTTGCCTAAGCCTCCTAAGTAGCTGGTTACAGGCATATACCACCCTGCCCATGTATATTTGCCAGCTTCTGAGGCATAATTGTTCCCCCTGTGGCCAGTTTGAAGCTACCAACATAATTTCAACTTTCAAATTTGTGGAACATGTAACAATTGTTCCAGCATACTGCTGCATTTAATCCTGTTAAGTTTTACCTTGTTTGGGCTAGGGGTTTAGCTCAGTAGTTCCACCGCCTGCCTTGCAGGCACAAGGACCTGAGTTCAATCCCCGGTACAACAAAAATTTTTTTTTCACCTTGTTGAGTGCCAGCAAACTTGCTGTTGCCTATTGAGAACAGATGGTTTCCATTAATCTTGTTTGCTTTGTTCCATAGGGTCTGTACCAGCTCACCAGGGATATCATAATGATGATCCGAGTGTGTAAGATGTTCCGCCAAGGCCTCAGGGGATTCCGGGAATATCAAATCATTGAGCCTGTTTACAGAAGAAACCCTATCTTCTCCTTCTGGGATGTAAGCAGCTGGGCTTAGTAGGATTATTAGGATGTAAGGGGGTCCAATAAATGGTACCCCACTTCCCAATCCATGCTTAGAACCAACTGAGAGAGAAGACAAAACATAAAACAGATGGGAGATCCAACTGTCACTTTGTTAGTGACAGATGTATATTGGAGAAGGTGTGGCTTGTATCATCTAGTTCTGAATCCCAGAATTAGCCAGCCTTTTGTGACGAGTGGCAGGCCAAGCTGGAAGAGGCAGGCATTTAGTGTAGTAATACAGTAGCAGGGCTTACTGTTCTGAGCTAAGGCAGAGCAGAATATGGGCTCAGAAGGGAGGAGAAGGGGGATGATCATGCTGTTTCTCCTTCCAGACTCACCAAGGAGTTTGTCCTTCCTCTATATGAAAGGAGAAAGGTTAGTAGTATTTTACTAAGACACTATACTCCTCTGCTTCTCTGTATAGAAAGAAACTAAGAAATGAGAAAGACACTTTCTCATTCCAACCAAACCTTCAAGAGCGAGAAGGAATCTAGGAGTCACAACAGAGTTGAGATTTTTTTACTTTTTTTTTTTTAATCAATACATGTTTGCAACACATGAATTTTACATTCAGCTTAGGGAGTAGGTGCATAACATATCTTGATTGTCTTTTATTCCATTTTGCCTCCCCACCTACCTCCTTCTACCTCTAGATCCCATTTCCCCATTTTTATTATTATTATTATTTTACTTCATGTTTATGATATATGTTTACATTTGCAGTGGATATTTGGTACATGTATATAACACATCTTAAATTTTTTTATATCCCTGACCTGCTTCCCTTGACCTTGGGTTTTTTGTTTTGTTTAGTTTTTGGTACCAGGGATTGAACTCAGGACCTTATGCTTGCAAGGCAGGCACGGTGCCACTGAGCTAAATCCCCAGCTTGCCCTTGGGCTCTTGAATCTCTTTCCATTTGCAAAAAATCTATCTCCCTGTTTCCATCCATCAGTTCTTTATTTTACTTTTTATTTATTCTTTGCCTTGCTCAAATGATAGAAACCATATGGTATTTAAGCTTGTGTGTCTGATTTGACTTAGCATATTTTCTATCTGTGTCTATTTTCCTATAAATGTCTCAAATTTATCCTTCTAGAATTTATCCTTCCAAATTTATCCTTCTAGAATACTAGCCAAGCGGTATGCTGTTATATATAGATACCACATTTTCTGTATCCATTCATCTGTTGATAGATGCACAGGCTGCTTCCAGGATTTAGTTATTATGAATTGTGCTGCTATAAATATTGATGTGCATGTGTCACTCTAATATGATGTCTTTTGGGAAGATACCTGGATGGGGAATAGATGTGTCAAATGGAATTTCTACTTTTTGGTTCTTTGAGAAATCTCTGTACTGATTTTCATAATGGTTGTACTAGTTTACATTCCCACTAACAGTACAGAAGTGTTCCTTTTTCATCATAGCCATGCCAGCATTTGTTATCATTTGCTCTTGAGGATTGCCCTTCTTTCTGGTATAAGATAAAATCTTAGTGTAGTTTTGATTTGCTTTACTCTAATGACCAGAGACGTTAACATTTTTTCATTGACCATTTGTACTTCTTCAGAGAAGTGTGTATTCATTTCTCTTGTCCTTTTATTTGGAGAGAGTCTAATTTTTAAGTTCTTTATATATTCTAGATATTAGTCCTCTGAGGAATAGCTGGCAAAAATTATTTCCTACTTTTTAGGTTGTCTCTCTCTCTTTTTTTTTTTTTTTTTGAGACCGGGTCTCACTATGTAGTTGAGACTGACCTGCAACTTACTATGTAGCTCAGGCTGGTCTCGGAACTCACAGCAATCCTCCTGCCTCAGCCTCTCCAGCGCTGGGATTACAGGCGTGCGCCACCGTGCCTGGCAGGTTGTCTCTTCATTCTATTGATTGTTTCCTTTGCTATACAGCTTTTTAATTTGATGTAATCCCAATTTGTTGATTCTTTACTATTTTTTTGTGCAACTGGGGGTTCTATTTAAAAAGTCTTTGCTTACCCCAATGACTTCAAGAGTTTTTCCTGTTTATTTTTCTTTTTGGGGGGGTACTGGGGATTGAACTCAGGACCTTGTGCTTGTGAGACAGGCAGTGGAACCACTGAGATAAATCCCCAGCTCAAGTTTTTCCTGTTTTATTTTCCAGTAGGTTGTGTTTCTGTTTCTGTTTTTAATATTTAGATCTTTGTTTTAATATATATGTTTTTAGTATTTAGATCTTTGAGCCATTTTTATTTTAGGTTAGTACATGGTGAGATATGGTTCAACTTCAATTTTCTGCACATGGATAGCCAATTTTCTCAGCACCCATTTTTTTTTTTTT